ATAGATAGATAGATAGATAGATAGATAGATAGATAGATAGATAGATAAGATAGATAGATAAGATAGATAGGTGATAGATAGATAAGATAGATAGGTGATATATAGATAAGATAGATAGGTGATAGATAGATAGATAGATAGATAGATAGATAGATAGATAGATAGATAGATAAAAGATTATAATTATAATGAGCATATTAAGGTTAGAAGTTGGAAGACAAAAACTATGTAAACGTAATTGTATTATTACTGTTAGCATTGTGTAAAAGATATGTTGACCCAGTCATTACACTGTCCACAAAAAATGTTGGTTGTCACTACAAGTTAAAACGTACACACTAATTTTTTTTTTTTAAAAAAAGAGCCAAACCATGGCCGGAGGGGACGGGTGGGCAGAAATGGAAAACTTGGGATGGGAAGGCTGCCCCCCCAGGGTGGAGGAGGAGCACCGGGAAGGAAAGGAAGGAAAAGGATTCGAAAACAGGCAGCTATTTTTATCCGATTGAGTCCTTTCACCCACCACCCCAAATGGGAAACCACATTCCCCCCCCCAAGGCATGGGACGAAGACTAACAGCAGTTGGAAGGGACCTTAAAAGGTCTTCTAGTCCACCCCCCCTGCTCAAGCAGGAGCCCCCAGACTAAGCAATCCATCAGTGGAACGACTGTGGGTGCTGCAACATGGGAGGCTTTTAAGGAGAGACTGGGTGTCCATTGGTCTGGACTGGTATAGGGTCTCCTAGTCCAGGGGTCACCAACCGTTTGGACCTCAGGGACCACCAAACTCATAATTTTAAATTCCGGGGATCACTAATATGAACTTTGACTGACGGTGGTTTGCTGACGTGGGTGGGAGAGAGAGAGAGAGAGAGAGATCTGATCTAACCTCTCTCTCCCCCCCTCTCTCTTTCACACACACACACACACACACACACACACACAGAAGTAGAGGTGGGATTCAAATTTCTTAACAACTGGTTCTGTGGGCGTGGCCTAAATTGTGGGTGTGGCCTGGTGGTCATGTGACTGGCTGGGCACGGCTTGTACGTAAATATTATAAATATTTATGTCAATATTGAATTTTTTATTTAAAAAAAGAGCAACTTTTACCCAAAACCAGGTCCAGAGCAGGCAGGCAGATTGAGTTGCCCACAGAATCACAGATCTACTTAAGAGATCTGTGTTTCCGCCATCGGTTACCTGAGCCTGTCACATAAAATTTGCTAGCAGGCAAACTCACAAAATTAATTCACAACACCCCATGTATGTTAATATTATTTTTTTTTATAAAAAAGAGCAACTTTTACCCAAAATCAGGCAAAGCAGGCAGGCAGATTGAGTTGCTGATAGAATCACAGATTCAACTTAGAGATCTGTGTTTCTGCCATCGGCTACCTGAGTCTGCCCTGCTTCAATCCTAAGGAAGGTTCGGCTCTGCACAGAGCCGAAGATCTAAAAATTAGTTAGAAAGCAAGAAATGCAAGGATGTCCTGCTTTCTAGCTAATCTAAATCTCCCAGCACAGCAGAACAGATGATGGTTGGAAAAAGGAAAAAATAGCAATTTAGCAGGCAAGTTTGCCAGGTAAGGACTGAGTGGGCGGGGAGGGTTCCCGCGGGCCATGTGGGCGGCGCAGCCTTGTGTTCCTGCGTAGCCTGGATTAATTGTTTTTTTTTTTTTTATATTTCTCTGTGGACCACCAAAACTTTCTCGTGGATGGCCCACCGGTTGGCGACTGCTGGACTAGAAGACCTCCATGGTCCCTTCCGACTCTCTTATTCTATAATCCCACATCAATTCATCAGTGGAATGGCTTCCCTCCAGAAGCTGTAGGTGCTGCATATCTTTTTCTTTCTCCCTTTCCTTTCCTTTCCTTCTTTCCTTTCCTTTCCTTTCCTTTCCTTTCCTTTCCTTTCCTTTCCTTTCCTTTCCTTCTTTCCTTTCCTTTCCTTTCCTTTCCTTTCCTTTCCTTCTTTCCTTTCCTTTCCTTTCCTTTCTCCTTTCCTTTTTCCTTTCCTTTCCTCTCCTCTCCTTTCTTGTGGAGGGTACAACAGGTCCTTGAAAAGGAGGACCCAAGGCTTTAAACCCTCCACACAACCTCTCAAGCCTCACCTCTGCTTATCCGCTGTTTCTCCCCGGATAGGATGCCTGGCGTGTCGATGATACTGATGCTGTCCAGGACGGGGTTTGGCAGCTGCGCGCACATGAACCTGCGAAGGGAAGGGAAGGGGACAGGATTAGGAGGCGGCTGGGTCCGAAGCAGGGACAGAAATGGGGCTCCCCGGGGTGGCATTTTTGCCATTCTGCTTGAACTGGGTCATTCTCACCCCCCTTCCCCCCACCAAAAAAAAAAAAAAAACAATTTAGGGGATTGAATCATCCATTAAACTTGCACGGGGCGTTTCACTTCTCATCCAAGAAGCTTCTTCAGCTCTGACTGGGGAATGGAAGGATTTATACTCCTTGCGGACAGCTGGTCATTTGCATCCTTTTTAGAGGGTCCGTTGAGGCCGCTTGGAGGTTGATCTGTAGTGCGAATGGGGGTAGGGAGCCTTCTTGGAAAGGACCGTGTTGTAGACTGGAGATAGATGATGTTGTATCCCTCCCGCTCTGTTGAGGGAGGGGGGTTCAATTTTGACACAGGTGGTCTCTTGGGCCCCTCTTTCAAACCAGCCGTCCTCTCTGTCCAAAATGTGGACCTTGCTACCTTCACAAGGGCGGCCTTCGTCTTTCAAATGCTGCATCTTAGCCCTGTTGGGTTTGTTCCTCCTATGTTGTGCCATGCGTTGGTGAAGTGGTGGTTTTGTTTCCCCAACGCGCCCCCATCCATCTCCAATCTACACCAGAATCCTCTTTATCGGTTCCAAGAAGGCTCCACACCCCCATTGGCACCACTCAGAACACGGATAAATCTCCAAGCGGCCTCAACAACTCTTTTAACAGGATGCAAAGGACCAGCTGTGTCTGCAAGGAATATAAATCCTTCCATTCCCCCACCATCCGGTCAGAGCGGAGGAAGCTTCTGGGACTGACAAGGGAAACGTCTTCAAAGAAAAACCAGAGAAGTCCAGTTGCCTCTTGAAAAAAAAAGAAAGCACTTTTGGGACAACCAAGATCTGGAGGGCGGAGAATCTCCACAGACAAGTGCTGAAAACTTTGGCTTGCTGAGCCAAACTTTTCATACCTGGAAAGGCATGAAAACATGAGTGCGAGTCTTTTAACAGGCCTGCTTCTGCACTAGAAAGCCAAGGAAGATATCCCGAGTTTTGTGTGTGTGTGTGTGTGTATGTGCGCACGTGCATAATCCCAGCCCCCCTCCCCTGTCCATTAATCCCACCCTCCCTAGGGTCCTTCCTTTCAAACTATCAAAATATCCCAGAGATATGGCAAGCTTCAAGTTCCAGAGAATACGTGGAGACATAGAACATAGACTCCTAAGGCTGGAAGGGCCCTCAGAAGTCATCTAGTCCAACTTGCTGCTCAAGCCGAGAACCCTTCGGACGGACTGTTGTTCAATCTCTTCTTGAAGACCTCCTGTGATGGAGCATCCACACACCACTGGAGACAATCGGGTTAATTGTTCCCACTTACAGGAAATTTCTCCTTATTTCCAGGTTGCTTCTCTCTTTGATAAGTTTCCATCCGCTGCTTCTTGTCCCATCCTCAGGTCTTTTGGAGAATAGAATAGAATAGAGAATAGAGAATAGAATAGAGAATAAAATAGAGAATAGAATGGAGAATAGAATAGAGAATAGAGAATAGAATAGAGAATAGAATAAAATAGAATAGAATAGAGAATATAGAATATAGAATAAAATAGAGTAGAACATAGAATAGAACATAGAATAGAATATAGAATAGAATATAGAATATAGAATAGAATAGAATATAGAATAGAATAGAATAGAATAGAATAGAATAGAATAGAATAGAATAGAGAATAGAGAATGGAATAGAGAATATAGAATAGAATAGAATAGAATAGAATAGAATATAGAATATAGAATAGAATAGAGAATAGAGAATAGAATAGAATATAGAATAAAATAGAATAGAATATAGAATATAATAGAATAGAAAATAAAACAGAATAGAAAATAGAATAGAGAATAGAATATAGAAAATATAGAATATAGAATAGAGTAGAATATAGAATAAAATAGAATAGAACAGAATATAGAATAGAATATAGAATATAGAATAGAATAGAGAATCGAATCGAATAGAGAATAGAATTCCTTATTGGCCAAGTGCGATTGGACACACAAGGAATTTGTCTTTGGTGCAAATGCTCTCAGTGCACATAAAGGAAAAAATAAAATACATTCATCAAGAATCATAAGATACAACACAGTCATGGGATATGAAGGAGTAACGGATGGAAGCATATCTGAGAGAGATCCAACCTAGAACATAAGGGGAAACCTCCAGGGCTCTGTGCATAGCATTTTTTTTCCAATTCTTTGCTTTCGGGTCCCAAGTCCAGCCCACCTGGCAGAGGAGAACTCCTCCGTTGCAAAAGCATTTAGCAAACCAGCAGCATGGAGGACTCGGGTTCAAAGGCCAGCGGGTTGAAAGAGCACAGAAACCGGCCTCCGGAGGAGCAGAGATAGCCACAACCAGTGGATCCAACCACTGGCCCATCCTGTCTGTCCCCAACAAGCAGGCCCTCAAGACACCGGAAGTTTTCCCCAATCGCATCCAGGGAGGTTTTTCTTTTCTTTAATGAATTTTATTTGTACTTTTTTTTTCTTTTAACATACCTGAGTGCTTACTAAACAGTGCATTGTCTGGGCCAATTTACCAATACATAACATCAATAATAATAAATCTATCTTCTTCTATTCTCTCTCTCTCTCATATATATATATATATATATCTGTGTGTGTGTGTGTGTGCGTGTGTGTGTGTATTATATAAACACACACACACACTGCTCAAAAAAATAAAGGGAACACTTAAACAACACAATGTAACTCCAAGTCAATCACACTTCTGTGAAATCAAACTGTCCGCTTAGGTAGCAACACTGATTGACAATCAATTTCACATGCTGTTGTGCAAATGGAATAGACAACAGGTGGAAAGCAGAGGCAGTTAGCAAGACATCCCCAATAAAGGAGTGGTTCTGCAGGTGGTGACCACAGACCACTTCTCAGTTCCTATGTGTTAGGGATAACATTGTTTACCCTAACTGGTTTGGGTAAAAATAATAAATAAGGTATCATGGTTTGTTGTTTAAAGTGTGTGTAACTTTAACTGCAAGAATGTAATTAAGGGTGTGGTTGTAAAAGCACTATATTAGAAGCGAGGCAATTGCAGCTCTCTCTCTCTGGCTTACTGATCCCTAATTACTGGATGGATTGATGACTGCGTTCTTGTAGGAGTGTTGATTTTTCTCAAGGGAGAGAAGATAAGATTGAACCGATTTATTGTAAGTGTACTGACATTGGCTATTCAACACGGACTTTGCAAATAGAGTATCCCCGACAACACTAACTGATATGATATATGACTACTGGACTGTTTATTATGACTATGCTATAATTCTTAAATGGAATAAACTATATTTTTGATAGCACAAGCGTATCTGTATTTTTACTGCGTGTTAACTAGAAAACTTATCTCACACATTTACCTGTCTTCCTATCTGACTTCGCTGCACATTCTGTTTAGTTTGTTTTTCTTAACACCCGTTGGGGAATCCAAGCTTAACACTATGCTTTCTGGCTGATGGTTTGGTCACCTTTTGAATGCTGGCGGTGCTTTCACTCTAGTGGTAGCATGAGACGGAGTCTACAACCCACACAAGTGGCTCAGGGAGTGCAGCTCATCCAGGATGGCACATCAATGCGAGCTGTGGCAAGAAGGTTTGCTGTGTCTGTCAGCGCAGTGTCCAGAGCATGGAGGCACTACCAGGAGACACTTCCTCACTAGTCCAACACATGAAAGCAACAGGTCATAGCATTGACTTCAATGGCACCAAAACCCTAGCCACTATAGAAAACCCCAGCCACAGAATCATCAGAGAAGCCATAGAGATTGAAAAAAGACCTGAAAGCATGAATGATTCCACCAGACTGTCAATCATTTGGAAGCCTGCACTCACAAACAAAAAAATCTCCACACCACAAGCCAGGCAAACACCTGGGCACAAACAGATCCCCCCTGATACCTCCAGCTCAAACACACCCCAACCAGGCACCCAGATGAAACCTAGCTTCCTAATAAATGATAGCCGTCTGTTTACTCGGAGCCAAGCTGCACTAAAAGCCTCCAATACAGGAACACAATGTTGCCAGCCAATCAAGACACAAAAAGAGCCACAAAACAGACAGAAGATATTAGAAACACCAATCAAACAGAACACAGCAAACTCCAAGACCAATAAACACAGACCAAGACTCCCAACCAATCAGGATGAAGAAAAAACCATTCTGGCACAGCAGTAGGCTAGCACCAAATTTAAAACTGAAACCGCTGTAAAAGTCTGACTCACAGACGAACACAATACAGAAGCCTGATGATGGCAGATGAAATTCTGCCGAAACGTTGCTACAACTTTAAAAGCACAACTATAATGACGTGGGAATATATCCGAACAAAGCTGAATACCATACATATAAATACCCGCGAAAACTTAAGAAAACAAATATATATATAAGCGAAATACCACTCAGGCATCATCACAAAATCTCCAGAACCGTAAAGCCTACAAACTTGAAATTTGGCACATAGGTTCCTCTTGGCTTCTAGGTGCTCACTAAGGATTTTTCAAAATAACCATCAGAGCATTAGTATTATCCTATATTATTATTAACACGCTCTGATGCTAAGGAGTTCTACTCCCCCTCCCCACCTGAAAAGAAATCTCTTCCAAATGCAAAACACAAGCAGAGGAGAGGAGTTTCAGTTTCAGTTTTAGTTTCACAGCAGCAACCAGCTTTAGTACAGGACAGTTGAGCTAAGCCCAGGCTCCTTGCTGTCTCCTTGCTCACACAGCAAATACTGTTTCAGTTTCCAAACAGCCCTCAACTCTCTCACGCACTGACAGGATGCTAGCCAGATGAATACCGATGGATGCTGGTAGGCAGAGGCAGAATTTTTCTCCCCCAAAACTAAGCCCGACCACATAGTTTCGTAGCGAACCGCGGGTAACCGCTAGTAATTATATATAATGATATTCTTCCAGTTTCTAATTTCTACCTTG